GTAATTAATCATGTTTGGAATTTTTTTTTTTTGATCATAAATGTTTAAAAATAATATTGAGCTCAGATCATAGGTTATATAGATTAATAGATATATAACTAATTTTAGATAATTTGATGAAAGATTTAAGAGAATGGTCGTAAATTAAATAAGAACAATAATCTAATTAATAAAAATAGGTTAAGGCTTCTACCCTTTGATAAAATTGCATCTTATAATTTGAAATGCTAGAGCCTAGAAATAAAATTATTAACGAGTTGAGAGTTACTAATGTAAGCTCATCTAGCAGATTAATATATGCTTGATTTTCTATTTTCAAATTTATTCATTTCCATTAAACGAATTTTTCAGATTCCTTATTAATTTTGCCAACACTCTTTTTTAAGAAGATCGTCATCAATTGCTAGCAAATATTTAAATCCAAAATTTCCATATTAAACATATAACTATAGCAGAATCATTTTAATTCAAATGATCATGCTCTTTTATCTAAGCAGAAAATCATTTATTTATTCTAATAAATGAATAATTATTTTATCTTGAGAGCTTGAATTGTAAATTGATTTGAAACTGACTACATATTTTATTAATTTTGAGACATGATTGCTAACAATTGATTTAGAACTTGATAAAATTTAATCATGCCATTTTTCTTCTTTACCAATTGTTCTCTCTACTTACTCAAAGAATTTTAATCTTTTCTTTTATCTTTTAAATTCAAGAAATACTATAACTATTCTTTAATTTATGCTTGTACTGGGAAGGTGAAAAGCTGAATTATTTTTTAATTAACTTGGCATTATTCTGATCTGTTTATATCATTTATATATCTTTCTTAATTTATGAGATTTTTTCTCTGTGTTGTTTACTTCATAGTTAAATTTTAATTTTTCGTTTCATCTGTTGTCTTCCTATTAAAATAAAATGTACTCAATTTTTATTAAGTGTTAGACTTATAAATTTTCTACTTACTTTCAATAAATTTTCATATGACTTCTGTCTTTTAACTGCAGGACTATTATTAATCGAATTACTTTTGGATTGACTCTCAAATACTGTTTTGAATAGTTAATTTATTCTCTAAAATTTTCCTCATTCAATTTCACCATCTATAATGCATATGATGATGGAATTCTTCAAAAAACATCAGTTTAATTTACTGATGTTTAATTATAAATTT